AACCCTAAGCAGCAGTGCAGCTATGGAGGCCATTGTGGCCTATGGCAATGCCACCTTTGCAGCGAGCCCGGACTCGCTGCCCCAGCTTCCACAGCAAGGTACCCTGGACTTCGGTAGCCACACTTTCTCCCAAGCCCTAAGTAAGCTTAATGTTCGCAAGGCCGTGCCGAGTCATTGTGCTCCGGCTGCCTCCTGGAGGCTCTGCTGCCAAGCTGTCAGCGACAGACTTGGGCCCTTACTCACCAGTCACTTTGCGCAAGGATCCACTGCACAGCTTGTTGGTGACCTCAGAGATGCACATGTAGTTTGGCTGGAAAAGCCAGGCAAACCACCAATCACGGTCAGTGCCCTCCGTCCAATCGGACTTATGCCGCCGTGTGCCAAGGCCATTGCAGCCGCCCTCGCCAAGGAAATTCAGGCCCACCTTCAGCCTGTCCTTGATCACATGCCACAATTTGCATACAGCCCCCATCGTGGCTGCAGTGATGCAATACTCCGTGTCCATCAACACTTCGAACAGGTGGAGCAGCTTCACCAAAGCCAGGCCAGCAATCGGTTTAATCTTCGGTCGGGCACGACCCGTCTCAAATGCTATGGCGGGGTCTGTCTATCTCTTGACTTGTCAAAAGCCTTTGATTCTGTGTGCCGGAACAAACTGACTACCTCCCTCCAGGAACACGGGGTCTCCAGTGATGTCATTGGTGCCATTCAGCAACTGCACAAGTCTGCTAGATATGTCTTCCGACTTAGTCAGGAAACCGGTCAGGTAGTCACCACGTGCGGTATAAAGCAGGGATGTCGTGTGGCACCCACCCTGTGGTTGAGCCTCACTCTCTCCATCATGGAAGTCCTTGCCCAGCGTCGAAGCCTAGCTTGGCTTCACAGGTGCCTTACAGCTTTCGCCGATGACCTGTGCAGCTGTTGGAACATCACCTCCAGCGGTGATCTCCTCAGAGCCTTGAGTGACCTCGAATTACTCTTGGGTGTACTTGCTCAGTTCCAGCTTACGGTAAATCTGCAGAAGACAGCCCTCCTGATGCATGTTAAGGGGAAGGAAGCCCGCAAAATCCTCAAGGATCGCATTGTGTACAAACAGGGAGCCCCGCACCTACGCATTCAGGTAAACGGGAAGGAGCAGCTCCTCAAGATATGCGACTCGCATGTGTACCTAGGGACAAAGATTGCCTACAAAAATCGCCGAGATCTCAACGTGGCCCACCGGATCAGTGCTGCACAAAGCCGCTATCAGCAAATTCGTAAGGTTCTCAATGGGCGAAACCCACTGAGCGTGAAGCACCGCCTGAGATTGTGGACGGCTTGCATCAACAGCTCCCTTCTGTACTCTCTTGAGGTTGTTGGTTGTACCCTAAATGGCCTTCGTAAACTCCACGTCTTGTGCACCCGTCATCTCCGTGCTATTCTTAAGCAGCCAGCCCATCTCTCCCACATCTCCAACCATCAAATATGGATCAATGCAGCTCTCATCACCCCGGAAGTGCAGCTCACAGATAGAATGCAACGGTTCATGTCTACCAAAGACCCTGCCCAACTCTGCCATGGGCCTGACATCACCTGCAATGATGAGGTTCTACTTCAGATGTCGGGGCTGATTGCCCAGCATCACGTGCAGCTGTCAAGGCTGACAGCAGAACGGGCCACGACACAGGCTGCCGATCAAGACTCGGAGCCACTTCTTGGGGTCGTTTGTCCCCACTGTGACAGGAAACTCCCGACAGAGCATGCACTGCGAATCCATATAGGCCTACATCACAAAGACCACAGCCAAGCTCGAGGCCCTGCAGTCATCTTCTCAGCTAAAGAACATGCTATTGATGGCATGCCGACGTGTCGCTTGTGCCACAGAAGCTTCACGAAGTGGCGGCAGCTGAAGCTCCACATTGAACGACGATCGTGCCCACACCTTGGCGGTGCAAGCTTCAAGCTTACTGTAGTCCTCCAAATCCTGAAAATCATCACATGTCAGGTGCTGAGCCGCAACAGACGGCTGCAATGCGCCCTGAGCAGCCTGCCTCTTCCGAAGCACAAAGCCAGAGTGTGAAAGAAACCTATGTTCCACTAATTGACCGAGCGGAGTTTCATCACAGACTGTCCAATTGGGAAGCCCTGCTGACATGTCGCGATACAAAGGCTCAACTGTCCTGCAGATGTGTTCTTTGTGGCATGTGGATCGCAACACCCAAGCACATGAAGCAACACTACAATCGCACACACCATCCTGACTACCCTGGCCTTAGGGAAGCTGCCACTGCTCTTAGCACTACCTTCAAAAGCCAGTTCACGCGAAACCGCAGCTGCAAGTACTGTGGGACCAAAGTTGGTGCAGCCTCGAGGCACACTGTTCAATGCACAGTACTGCATCAGTTGTGTCTTGCTACCATCTTCTGCCAACGGAACTTGCACCATCAGGATGACGGGACAGCTGGAGTCAGAGATCTTTGCCCACTGCATGCCCGCGGGGCAACTGGGAGCGAAGTCCGAAGCCTCTGCCTCACAGCAGACTGCCCAGACGGACCAACCACAGAAGCGACCCAGACCGGACCCACCAGCGCGATTCCAGGGAAGACGCCGTCCCTTCGGACCGAACAACGGTCAGTACTCACAGAACAGCTTCCATCCGCCAGCACAGGTGCCCATGGACCCCACCATGAGATTGATGAGCAAACTGCTCCTCAAACACGAAGCTGCTCTGTCAGGCCTACGTCAGGACAAGAATTTTGTACTCTTCTTCAGACAAGACGAGCACAGCTTACTACCCAATCTTATGCAAGTATCCAAAGAGTGGCACGACAAACGTGCAGCGGGGGATCAGTCCCTGAAATCGCCTCTCAAAACCGTCTTGATGGGCTGTTTGCTCAAGGAGCTGCTTGCCAGGCTGCAGCGAGTCACCTCGACAGAACAAGGGAGGGCCTCGCTCCAAAAAGCGGGGTGGATCCAGGAAAGCGGCTCCTGGAACTACTTAAAGTGGTTCCCGAAGGAGAGAAGGTTGGTCCCGGACGACAGCAGGGAGCCCATGACGCATGCGGAGGCCACCAGGACTCAGGGAACTTCACGACCAAATGTCGGGCACCATAATACAACACTTTCAATCCACACAGCCTCTGTGGAAACTGTCCGAGCAAGGACACCAGCAAGCCACATTCCAGTTGGAGATTGCACTCCGGGGCTCCAGCGCCGAGGAGACATGGGTCCTCTTTCGCTCCCTGTGCGGGCTAGCGGTCACCAACCTGGCTGGGTTTTCGATGAAAGTGGACGACCTCCCGCGCCAGCATTTGGCAAGGAGCTGGCCAACCTGACCTATGTGGGAGGCCACCCCCCACTGCATCGAGTGATAAGGATCATAACCTTAATCCTCAGCCCTCGCCACTTCCCCCGGCCATCTCTAACAACCACATAACTCCCGACCCTAATCCAACTCTTTTCCCGGCACTCAACAACCCTGGCAATCATTGTTACATGAACGCCTTCGCACATTGTATGTACATCCTGGAACAGTTGCTGCCAGTTCGCATTCTGCCGCCCACCTTCCGTGCAGAGCCTGGCAGGCCTTTGAGTGCCTACAGAGCCTTTGGGCTCTGTCTTCTGGGATGGGGCAGGCCGCATTCTCAACATGACATAGTGGAGTTCACTGACTTTGTTCTCCCAAAGCTCCTGCCAGATCGCAGCTGTGCCTCCTGGCATGCGCGCCGTACCGAGGAAGGAGTCTTGAGAACATTGGATCGCTCTGCACTGAACCAATGCCTGTCCCTAAGCTTTACTGAGGTCCTTAGCCCCCATATCCAACAACTGATCTTCAGGTGGCATCACCAGTCGGCTCTCCATGCACTGACTAGCCGGGCACCATGGTTGCTCATACAGCTGCCTCGCACAAAGGCCGAGGGTTCACTGCTCAGCAAGCGAATGGATCAATTCAGGATGCCTCGGAGCTTACGCCTTCCGATTTTCACACAGGCCGGAAGCTTGTCCACTGAGTGGTGTCGCTATCGGGTAGTTGCCCTCACCATTCACCACGGTAACAGCTTTCGTGAAGGTCATTATTCACTTCTGATTCCTGATGGGGCGGGGTTCAGACTGCTGGATGACAATCGAGCCATCAAAAAGGCAACACCGGCAGAGGTAAGGCATGCATCATGCAACTGTTACATGCTCTTACTCGCGCAACATGTGGATCCGGATCCGCAGACTTTGGATTCACTAGCTCTTATCGTGCCACCCAGCCATGTCAGACAACAACAACACCTTTCTGCTTCGCAAATACGGGGATGCATGGGTGACGGCCCACTTGAGTCTCATGGAATACCAGATCAAGGAACTGGAAGTGCAGATGCAGCTCATGCAGCGTCACTTGGACAAAGTGCAGATCGAGCTTCACTCCATGCAACTTCTACTCCACCGTCATGCATATCTGTACAGCAATCGCAGAGTCAATAAGGTTCGTTGTACTCTTGTCAGAGACCTACATACGCTGGACGATTGAGTGTCGTGGTTAAACCATGACAAGGCGCTTAGGCGCGTTCCCCTGCCTTGAAGGGCATTAGTGCCATGCTGCCAAGAGCAGCCGATGTCAGCATACGACTGACAGTGTAGGCGCTCGCTAGTAGAGAATCGGACGCTCTCTGCTGCGTATGAAGAAGACAATGCTGATGATGATGCTGGTGGAAGTGGTGAATGTGGCGATGATGATGGTAAACATGATGCTGTTGATCATGATGATGGTGGGAAGCCTTAGGAGGATGGCAATGACGGTGAGGAGGATCAGGATGATGAGGATGGCGAGGATAATAAGGATCCTCTTCCATGGGGATGATGATGATGATGGTGGTGATGGTGATGGTGGTGGTGATGATGATCATCATCATCAGGATCATCATTATCATCATTATCATCATCACCATCATCACCATGTCATGTTTATGGTGGATGCAAGCTGCACGAGCGCACACAGTCCTCTTTTGCTGCGCATTGGCTCTTGGAGACAGACTTCAGCAGCAGCTGCAGTCGGTGAGAAGCTTAACATCAGTCTCCCACTTCGAGGCGGACTTCGCATAAAGCCGCAGCTGCTGGCGTACTGCCGCGTAGGTTCGCAAGGGGTCATCATCAGCAAGCCAGAGCAGCCTCAACCGCCAGATCACTGGCTGTTTGGGAAAGTCCTCGTCCATCAGCAGCTCGACAAGAAGGGACACCCACCTCTGACGCTGAGGCTTGCTCAGCACCAGCAGTACAAGCCCAAGAATCGTGCCGCAAAAAAGTAGTTTGTCCTTGTTGATGGAAATGCTGGACTCCACAAGTTCTTCCGTCATGCCGAGCATGGTTTCTGCATAGGTCCCTGCACAAAAGGGAGGGCCTCAACAGCATGGTTCATTACAAGGAGCATGGCGGCATCAGCAACGGCCACATCCGAACTCCGGCAGTGCCGAAGCAGACTTCGGAGGTTCTTGCGAACAATGCGCTTAGCGTGGCTTTCCGCGAAATTGGGTTTTCTCTTGGATGCCAGGGCCGTAGAACACCACCGACCTCAGAATGAAGCAGATGCGTCTAAGGTCTCCACCTGCACTGCCAGTAAGACGGAGGTGCTGGCTGCATGTGGCTGTGAATCATGTTCAATAAGTCAAGAGGCACTCGTACATCTTCTGCTGCTCCGCATCGCCCGGGAAGACATCGGCGAAGAGTGTATCCGGGTTACTTCCGACCAGATCCATCTGCTCCACGAAAGCGACAATCTGTTCTGGCCTGCACAAGTGTACAGCGTCACTCCGTGACCGATAAAACTTCCTAGCTCCGTGACTTGCTTGATTCAACATGCCGGTGCAATGAAGGTGGGAATGATACGACCTGCTGTGCATGACTGTGGGTCTGAAAACATGTCCGTGTGCTGCATGTGCTGCATTGATCTGCATTGCGCAGCTTGCTCACTCTGCAGCAGCAGCAGCAGCAGCAGCAGCAGCAGCAGCAGCAGCAAAGGCATGACGAACACCGGTTGCTTTTAGTATTGTAGACAGGACGATCGATCGACGGTTCTTCAAAAATCATGGACCATCCGTCCTTCCGGTTTTTGCTGAAAGAACGGGAATTCAGCAAATCCGAGTGTGACGTGCAATTATCGCAACATGCAAGAAGGATGTCGACAAACCGCTCGATGTTGACGCTACTTCGCAAAACCGTTTCCGAGCCTGTCCATGCTGCCCACCTCAGCCACGTGCGCTGTCAAGGCCTGCGTGGCACGTTTATCGTCTTCAAGCACCGGTCTCCAAGAAAGGAGCACGCAGAGGGAGGCGTCGGACCGCAGGCCTTGGGGCTCCGCGTAAGCCGCGAGAGTACGCGCCAGTTGCGCAGCTCCTGCACCTGTAGCGGGCAGAGATGCACAAAGGATCCGCCGACAACACCTCTTGCAACGTCTTGTCGACACCCCTGCACTGGCCACTTCGCAGCCAAGCCGCGCTCAAGAACGGCAACAGATTTGTCCTGAGGCTTCTGCGGACGAGATCTTGCACAGCATGTCTGCGAATCCGCCGAAAGCAACCGAAAGTCGATGCAAGCACGCAGTTCACATGCGGCCCAGGCACATGAGGAGGTCGTGAGGGGCGAATTCCTCCCCGGACCACTCTTCGTCGATGTCTGAATCGCTGCTGTTGCCGTCGGGCATTCTCGTGCTGACTTCACTGTCGCCGCCGCTGCTTCTTCTGCCCGGGCGGGTCCTCGGCTCGCCGACACCAGAATCACTAGAAGACAAAGTGATGGGCGTCCGCAAGGCAGGTGCTGCCAGCACAGCTCAGTGGCTCAGTGTCCGACTGAGGGTTCGGTTCCTGGCTCCTCGGCAGCAGAGTGCTGCGAGCATCCCTCAGAAAAGCTGGAAAGAAGGATTGCGGCCCAAGGCGCTCTGTGGTGCCCGCACGGGGTGTCGATGCAGCGACGGGGCAGCCCTCATGCCTGTGGAAGCTTTCTTCAGCACGGCCCTGAGAAGTTCGAGGTGCCCACTGCAAGCGAGGCACAGATCGCCGATGTCTGCGCTCTGCTCTCGAGGGATCGAAAGCCACAACGATGGCTCCTACGATGCTGTGCAGAAGTTAGCGTTGAGCGACTCATTGCCGCGCTGAAACAACGAAGCTACAGGTCCTACAGGTAGCTGCTCTTCCACCGGGGGCTATCCTGAATGACAAACCCAACCTGCGAACCTTCAGGTGGCACTGCTCTAGAAGCAACTCCATGTCACAAGCCGGTCTGTGTGTCCTGGGCAGCACAATTCTCTGCCAGGGGCCGCTCTGAATTGAAATGCCTGGGCTGATGAGGCTGGCGAAGCGGTGGAGGCAGGGATGGGGGAGGGCCAGCTGTCGGCATAGTGGAGTAGGACGAAGAGCAGTGAGTCTACAAGCCAAATATACATATATATATATATATATGTATATATAAAATATGAATAAAGATAGATGATAGATAGATAGATACTTGTCGCTTGCTCTCAAGTCCCCGCTGAGTGTGTTGCCTGGGAACACCCACGCGACGAGTCGAAAAAACGACGCATTGCTGCCCAAGGATCCCTGCCGTACCACAAGGCAGGAAGAGCGGAGCATCAATTGCGGGTTCGCCATCCTTTACCACCACGGTCTCCTGGCTTGAACAGGTCGGCCCTTTTGGCAAAGTTCCATCATGTTCCATGGTTGCCGGGTTGCCCATGTTGAATCAATGATTCAAACTCACAGACTGACAAGCATTGACCTCATCTGCCTGGGAGAAAACACTGCATGCTCCCCAAAGTCTGGCCTGGGCAGCCCAGTTCTCTGCCAGGGGCCGCTCCGCGTTGCAGTGCCTGGGCTCGTGCTAGTGCTGCAGGTGCCTGCGGGCCAACATGCCAGCGCAGTTGGCAAGCATGGGGGATGTCGTGCAGCCGGCATACTGAGTCTCGTGGAGACTCAGTACCTGCCTGATCTGGCACGACATCTTCCGTGATCAAATTCAGCTCTCCCTTTGCGCTTGGGGGTGAGGTTCCGCATGATAGACAGGCGAGCGAGCTGCCGGGATGAAGCATCCTGAGCCACATCCAACTGCTCCGAGAGTTCCTCGACGAGCTTCCGCACGAAGACGAGGTGAACGCTGTCGGGCCAGCTCCTCGGACAGAGCCGTCAGAGCCGAGCCTTGCAGAGTACCGCTCACGTTGTGCGCCAAGACACTCCCACGTCTCCAGCTGCTGCCGGACCCAGCGGCGATGGCGTGTCATCGGCGGCGGCATTTGGCTTGGAGACATGAGATATGCTTTGTTACGGTTGCATTTGATCGTACGCCTCCTAGTCCTTCATTGCTGCGCTGCAGTCTCTCTCGGTTGACAGGACATCTGCAGAAGTAGTCAGTCTCAGGCGAGTGCACTGCACGAACGTGTGCAGAAGTGCGAGGCTGAACCAGAGCAACAATGTCAAAGCGAGCGAGCACAGTGCCGTCACCTTCTCAGTAACCAAGCTGTCACAAGAGCTCACGTTGAAGCTGCCCTTTTCTAGCTCCATGTCAGACGCCTCAACTGAAAAACATCTCACCGATTGGACTCAACAGCACACAGCTGGAACTTAAGCCGCAATCTCTTGAGCTAATGCAAACAGGCGGAGAATATGGGGATATGGGGGGCCACAAGCGCCGCACCATGCCGCATGCTGAGACCGAAGGCAGAGTTTGCAGAGAGGCGGTGATGGATTCTGGGTCGCCACATCAAACCGGAAGTGTTCTTCCGTTTGGTTCGGTAGTTTTTTTCCAGTTGTGTCCGTGTGTGTTCTAGTAACTAGTACTGTTACTAGTACTGGTAGCAGTCTGTTACTACTACTACGACTATGACTACAAGTCCTACTACCGTTACCACCACTACTCTACTACTGCTCCTGCTGCTAGGAGCAGGACAGAGACCAGGAGTAAAAGACTCGGACGGTTTAGGACAAGAAAGACAACTGCCGAGCATGTGTGTGCACGAGCCAGTAGTAGGAATGGTGACAATAGTACTTAAGAGATTACTAGTACTGGTAAGTGTTACTAGTACTGGTGATCGTAACTGTGGTGGTAGCAATACTAGAAACAATAGTGAAGTGTTAGCAGTAGCAATAGTACCAGACATGATAATGGTGATAATATCAACAGTATCGTAATACGAGTAGCAATATCAATAATAGTAGTCGTCGAAACAGTAGTAGCAGTAGTAGTAGTCGTCGTAGTCGTCGCTCCGATGCTGTAGCGGCAAGGTCGCACCTGCCCGATGGCCAAGCTCACTGCAGATGGCCTGCACAACGTGGTAGGCTTGAAGTGCGGAAGATACCAACCGAAGAGCTGTGTTTATGTCCGTCGAAACACCGTCATGCGCTCCGCCTGTCTCACTCTGACATCTGTCATGGAGACTACCGCCCAGCCCATCGAGCCCTGTTTCCGCACGGTGACCACCTCTCCGACCTGCAGGCAGAGTGTTTCAGAGGAGCCGGTTGAGACAATGCTCAATTGATCTTCGAGTTTCTTCGCCTGCTGGACGGCTTGGAACACATGTCCTTGCTGTCGTCGGGAGAGGGCCGGCATTGCCTGAAGGAACACGCACAAACAGCGTATTCTCGAAAAATGGTGCTGAGGAACGAGCCGGATGATGATGATGATGATGATGAAGATGATGATGATTTCTCGATCTGAAACTTCTGGATGCCAAAAAGGCGGATTTGTTCCGTGCGAAGCAACGACAACACCTTCCGTATCACTCGAGCAACAGATGCCAGATTAATCTACAAGCCTTGTCTTTGCTGCGAGTGGCTGGTTCCATGGGCAGCCATTCTGCTGCCAAACCCATGGCTCGGCCGGACCAGCGATGTTCTCAGTTGTTTCAAGCTTTGGTCGTTCTCCTCCCAGTCCTTCATTGCAGTGCTGCAATCTCTCTCGGTTGAGAGAACATCTGCAGAAGTAGTCCGTCTCAGGTGAGTGCACTGAACAAACGTGTGCAGAAGTGCGACGCTGAACCAGAGCCACAATGCTGCTGATGGTGATGCTGGTCATGTGATGTTTGTGGTAGTTATAGTTGCAAGCTGCACGCATACACTGATTCCTCTTTTGCTGTGCATTGGCTCGTCGAGGCAGACTTCAGCTGCAGCTGCAGTCGGTGAGAAGCTTAACATCAATCTTCCACTTCGAGGTGGACTTCTCGAAAACCTTCATCTGGCGTTGCGCTTCCGAGTAGGTTAAGTCGTTTTAGTATCGTTACAAGCCATGTCTTCTGATCTCATTTTTCGTTTTTGAAGCCCTCCTCGGCTTGCCAAGCCCAAAAAATCAGCTTATCGTTCTTGGGGATTCAGTATATCGTTTT